AAAGGAAAAGCTTACCTAAATCTTGGCTAGAAGTTCGGTTTGAAGGCAGGTGGTGGGGGCTGGGTATGTATCTCGGTGGTAGAACGTGCATCAAAGCACGGTGGGTTCAGCCTCCAGCCCTGAATACCCGGCTGAAGAGCTGCAAACACCTCAGTGCGGGAAAAGAAAAAAATTTGCAGGCATCACGATCTTATAAGGATGGCGTATTTACAAAACTTATAAAAGTTCAATGAAAATTCCCAATTAAAAATCCCATAGAGACTATGTGATAACCCAACCTTAAAATACACATAAAAGAGCAGAAGTGTAAGGCAATTAGGGCCAGTTTTGAAGAATATAGTAGAAAGACTTCTTACAGAAAAAACTTACTTTAAAGTTTTAGCCGTTGAAATTGTGTGGTAATGTCAAAGTGGGCACGGGGGACACTTGTCAGTGGAACAGAAAAAAGACACATGACAGAGGTGGCGTTGCTAATTGGTGGTAAAGTCCATACCGTTCGATGTAGGTTGCCAGGGTAACTGACTGTTTTTAGGAAAGAAAATAACATCAAACCCTTAGTGTTCATAGAAGTCAATTACAAGTAGATTAAATGTTAATACGACTTCAAAGAAGGGAGTTTGATGGATGGTTACTGAGTTAGGTGGAGTATGCTGGTATATGCTGCTATGCCTTAGAGGGAACATAAATACGTATGCAATGTTTATTCCAGAAAGCTCAAAGAAATAGGCTTGGTGGCAAAACAACCTTGGAATCAGAGGCAGGGTGGTCCCAAGTTTAATGTCTGCTTACAGGCAGGCCTGTGAGTGCAAAGGGGATTTGTTGGGAAGAATGGTTTCAGGGGGGAGGTGGGGTGAATGGCTAAAATTTATTACATAAATGTATGACAATGTCAAACAACAAAAAAATTAAGGAAAAACAAAACAAAACCAACCAACTCAAGTGACCAGAAACCAGAAAAATATAAGAGGAGGATACTTTGTTTTTATTAGATTGGTAGAAATTCTATGTGTCAACACAGAAAGGTATGGCAGGTGAAGTAAGAGAAGGGATGAATGAATATGGTATGTACTCACTCATAAGTGGATACTAGTCATAAACGAAGGGCACTGAGCCTATAGGAGCATGGTTGGTTCAGCCTGGGAGTAAAATCTGAGTTCTCTAGCCAGGCGATGGTAAATGTTTTGTAAGGTCTACACTCTACAGTATGACATCTCCTATGTCTGTACTATCTACCTATGATTATAAATACCCATAACAGGATGGCCTATGATAGGAAAAAAGTTTAATAATTAAAATGCTCTTGACAAAATAAAGTTACATAGTAGTTAAAATTAATAAATTGCAGCAGCAGTTTTCAGGCCACAAGGCTGGGACAGTTTTTGTTTGCCTCAAAAGGGTTAATGAGCTGTGTCTAGACTTGGATATTTTTGGTTGTCAAATTGTGGGGTTGTGGATATTACTGGAAGGTAGTGGACTGAAGCCAAAGCTATATTAAATATTAGGACAGACAGGACAGGCTCACAACAGTTATCCGTTCCTGGATGACAACACGGTGGGGTGGATGGGTACAGTCAGAGCCACAGTCCTCTTGGATTAGTGTGGTAAAAGGCTAATCTACCCGCTGTTCTGGAAATAATTGTGCTTTTTGAGACAGTATTTTAGACTTTTTATTTATCCAAAGTCCTTTATTTATTTATTTCAAGAATTGCATTTATTTGCTTCTTTGTTGGGGAGGAAGGTGAATATGTTCATGTCATGGTGTACTCGTGGAGGTCAAAGGACAACTTGAGGTTGCTTCCTTCCGCCATGGGATTGAACTCAGACTGTTTGGAGGCAAGCCTCTGAGCCATCTTGTCGACCCCAATATATTTTCTTTTAAACCTTGTAGTTTTTATAGCTTACCACTTTGGATCACAATGCTGGTTCCTGCTGAGACTTCCATTTTGACTTGTGGGTTTAACTTCCAAATGTTCAAGAATTTTATATGTTTCTTTCTATTTTATTTCTTAAAATTTTGTGGCTAGAGAATATGCTTTAAATGATTTAAACTATTTTAAATGTCTTTGAGGTTGAGGTTGTGGTTTGTCTTAATGAGTAGGCTATGTATAAAAATATGTGTATCTTTCTGTGGGCTGGAGGGCTTGGTAAATGTGCTGTAGGTCAATTTGGTAGCTCATGGTGGGTATTCTGATTGCTAATTTTTTGTACATTTATCCTATTGATTTCTGAGAGATACACACTGCAGTCTGTCCTCATGCATGCCTCAAGTGTCTATTTGTGTCTTTGGTTCTAGTTTTTTGTTGTTGTTTTATGTATTTGAAGGTGTATTGCCAAGTATATTGTACTGTTATGCCTTCTGGTGAGTTGACTATTTTGTCATTAAATGTTTCCTACTACTCTAATTCTTGGATGTGTGTGTGTGGTTGTCCTCTTTGAGGTTTGTTGGATCTTGTATCGGTGAATATACACCTCTCACAATATTATGAGAGGTTTTGTGTTTGTTTCTTGGTCTTCCTGAGGCAGTGTCTCGTGACAGGGCTTAAGCTAGCCTTGTACTCACAATTCTCTCCTCTCTCTCTTTCTTCCAAGTGCCAGGATTACAGGTGGGCATCATCATGCCAAGTGATATCAAGGACATTTTTCCTCATTATTTTCAATTATTTTTCTCCATTAATTCCTTTCTCTTTTTTAAGTAATTCTCTGATGGCTGAAATGCTAGATATATTTTTCTGATTGTTCCTGGGGCTGTATTTGGTTTTTAAAGGCTCCCCCTTCATTCTCAGATCATTTGTGCAGGTTTGTTAATCCGAGGAGATCTACAGCCTAGCCCATGGTCTACTCCCGCATTCTCGTTATGCTACTCTGCGTGTACAGTGGGTTGTTGGGAGCTGTGTCTTTCCAGTCCTAGCGTTTTTCTCTTGCTTCTTTGTTAGTTTCTGTTTTCCTGTTGTAATCTGAATTTGTGCATGCATTTCTTCAGCATTCATATGTACCGTGGGAGGAATAGTTAGGACGGATGCTTGATGCCTTCATGTAAAGCTTCCAGTTCAGAACCATGGGTTTAATGACAATTTAAAAGAAATATAGTCACCCTCCCCTCTTCCACTCTCATGCTGAAGGTCAAAGTCAGAGCTCTGAGCTATCCCAGCCAGCGAGCACCCCACCATTGAGACACACCCACAAACCCTGCCCCCACCACTGAGACACACCCACA